TAAGAGAGACTATGAGAAAACCATGTTGGTGTAATTTGACCTCTTGTGACCTCTAGTCTTTGTCCTATGTTGTGCTGAATATCAGGGCTCAAAAGCTCTTAATGTTTCCTAAGGCCACTGAAGGTGTCTTTTTGTCTTCTGTTTAAAATGCAAGTTTTGTAGATCACATGCATTCACTATTTGATAATGACAAGGTATTGCCTAGGACACTTACGTGGTTAATCCTGCAGCCTCTGTTGGGCTTAGTCTGGAACGACACTGACTGAGTGTACTGAGTGGAAGTCTCTTGTGGAAAACAACTTCTGAAATGGTCTATTGTTGTGATTTCTAAGTTTCTAAGATGGGCTGTTGCGGTATTTTTTGCAAATGCTTCCACAGTGCCACCCGACTTTACTGTCACTGCCTCCAGAGTGATGGAGAGGATCTATGTTTGAAAGGAAACATCTTGTGTTTCCAACTTGAATGTGACATGATCCCCTATGATGGCTTTGATGGGATTTTCCTTTCCTTCACTTACTATTCTATCAGGAAAGTCCTTCAAACCAATGTTACATTCAGCAGGCATTTTGAGAGAGGCTGGCAATCATGTATCCAGTTAGAATTACTGTATAAAATGAAGTTATCAGAAGTTATTAAGTTCTTGGTTATGAGTCTCCTAAATACTATGATGCAGCCCATGGACAACCAAGGAGATCTGGATTTCTTGTGGTTCCATTTGTCATGACCTTGGCTGGGACTTGCAGACCATATATTATACATAATTTGGTCAGCAAAAATGTACTGACAACCTCTGTGATGTTCTGCATGTCCCCTGGGGTACAGGCAATGCATGTGGCAGACTTTTCCATAGCTTTCTGCAAGCTTTGCAAATTGCTGTTAAGGGAAAACACTGCCACTGAAGTGCCACCAGAATTTGGCTTGTGGAACTCACTGGGTCTGGCAGGATTTACCCAAGATGTCATGGGGTGTGTACTGGGGTGGGGGTGCTTCATTTTCTGCTATCAGGGAATTTGTTTTTAGCTGGGAAAGATTTATTGATTATGGTGATTTGCTTGTAGTAGGGAGAGGACGGAGCCAGAAGAAATCTAGTGCAAAAAGTATTTTTGTTTTGGGTGACTGCTGTGTGTTTTAATGCTTTCTCATATCTGGATGTGTTGGGAGTGTCTTGAGTGAGTTCATTGAATCACTCATTATGAGCTGCATTGTTTCCAGATACTTATAAAGGGCTTATTAGCACAGGAAATGGCCTTTTCACTTCCAGCCTGCTTGCTGTTGATCCCTCAGAGGATGTAAAGGCCTCTTTCTCCCAATTTTCAGCAGGGGCTTATTTGAAGCCGAAGTCATCTGCTGAGATTGAAGGCATCTGCCAAGGGTGTGGATCTCCTGCACAATGCACTGACTCAGCACGGCCTCTGGGGTCTGGAGGGGTGACAGGTCTCACCCAAGAGATACTGGTGCTGTGGTGAGGAGCCCCACACTGGCTGGCTGCTGGAGGTGGCCTTGGAGCCCAACTTCTGCTTCCACACTCGCATTCTTCCCCAGACTGAACACTTTGTCCCTGCTGCTCCCTGGGGTTTCCAGTGATTTGGGCTGTAGAAGGGTCCAGCCCTCTGATTACAAGGTCTGAACAGCCTCTGCAGATGGTTACAAGGCTTGGAGCAATGAAACTATGCTGCGGAGGTATTCTTCCACCCTTCTGGCCCCAGTGGCTGATCTGACTTTGGCTCACTAGCATTGGTATTTAAAAGACTTTCAGATGTGTGTGGTCCCTATAAAATTAAATCTCCAAAGGAAACAAATGTTATGTGGTGAAAGTCTGCCAAGTCCCTGTTGCTTATTAGCTCATAGTATTATGTAGGAGAGGCTTAACTCTATAGTCTGATATAGGGTAACTCTTTGAACTGTCAGCTCTTTTGAAGATTCAGATTTAAAGCCTGTTGCTCTATAGGGTCAAGACTGATCCATTGGCTTTATGGGCTTTCAGTTTTGAGTGCCTTGATGTGTTTGGTAGAGACCTGAGATAGTAATTTGTCATTTCAAAGGGGTTTGGTGTGTAAATTCACATCAAGCAAAGCTTTGAAAGCAGTGGTCAGGGATGACATTTTCAAAGCAGTCCAGAAGAATGGAGGTTAAAATAAGAAATGTAATTAAACATGTGCATCTAAATAGACTGACTTGAAAATGTTGATCCAAGACTTCCTTCAAAAGCAGTGATCACTTGATTTAAATTTTTCCAGAATTCTCATCCATGGTGCAGCCAGACCCTAGCTACTTATCAGCCTAACTTACATCCTGATCAGAGAACATGCTGTGCTATCAGATGCAGTTTTTTATAGAAGTCAGGATGATGTACAGTAAAGCAACTGGGCATTGACATAGAGACTGCATTAAGACTGCAACTCCTAACAATGTTAGAAACGGGATTTTCTAGGTATATGTAAAGAAGTTAGCACAAAGCAGTCACAAAATCCATTTTACCTGCAGTCTGTCCCTTTCCAAAGCATCACAGTTGCTCAGCAATATCAACAAACACGTCTTTAAACAGATTTAGTTACACAGACAAAAGTCTAAATGTTAGCTTCCTGGAGGAAAGATGATTCACCTGATTTAAAGCAGATAATTTAATCTGAAGAGCTAAATTTATCTTTCCTTTTTAGCTAGATAAAATTATTGATGGGAAGAAGAATTTTCTTTCCAATTCTCAATCACTCATGCTGCCTAAAATGGTTTAGATTGTGGTGTCTCAGGGGGTGAGTCTCTTCTGATGTAAATAGGTTTTGACTAGCATTAACTCCTTAAGATCAGTGAAGAAGCTCTTGTGCCTGACCAGCAGAAATGAAGTCAGGAGCAGGTGCTTGCACTCATCGAGAAAGAGCTGTTTATTTCTATACCTTATTGCATAGCCTGGCCAGTGTCTGCAGTATGAGGCAATCCTGTTCTTGTTTGAAGAGAGGCAAATATGGTGCAATTCCATGGAGAACATGTGAAATCAGTCTGGCTCCAGCATTCTTCACCTGTAATGATGCTCTGGCTGCGGAGATCTTTCTTGTCTGGTGGCAAGATTAAAGGAGGACAACTGTACTCAAGGTGATTGGAGCACCTTTTAGGAATAACTTGAGGTTTTACCCAAGATGGACATGACTGTAATTGGAGTCTTATCCTTCAGGTCTCTTGCTGGAGTAATTTTGCTTTTAAAAGGAAGTGTCTGTGCTCCAAAAAGGTTCTGGCAGTGTCCTGAGCAGATGTGTCCATACAGACGTGCTTCATCTTCTCACCAGTGGATACAGTCTCAGATGTAGAAAGAAGTTAAGAGCCATCTGTTAATGCTGTTTGAGACCCTTTGCTGTCCTCAGAACTTGCCACACAAATCAAACTTGAGAGATGAGTAAGTTGTACAATTCCACTGATTGCATGGGTTTACATCATTCTGCCAGGTCACCCTGGGGAAGTATCCAGATCCTTAGACATCGTCCCAAGCAGTCTGGCTCTGTCAAAGCTCTGTGCACCACTGAAGACTGAATTTGGTTTCCCTTTCTCTGTTCTTGCTGTTACTGTACTTAGCACATGCATAATGATTTGTATCTTTGGCACATTTTTAAAGTATGAATAAATTTATATTTACAGCAGTATTGTGGCATAGGGAAGAATTGTTAATCCTGGAGAGATTAAGCACATGGCAATGAATGGCTGAGTACTATCTAATTTGGAATGGGATCTAATGGGAAGGAGAAGGCTTGAAGTCCTACCTACCTCTTGCATCTTTATCCAGAGACCTACTGAAATGTGCCCTGGAGAGCACAGACCCTGCTCTTTCCTATGGTCCTCTCAAGTGCTAATTCCTGAGGAAGGAGAGCAGATCTGCGAGATCTCCTCTGTAGTGATCCCACCAAGCACGTAAGGGAGCAGCCAACAGCTTCAGTGGAGGATGCATGGGAACCTTTGACTAAAAGGATGGTTTCAGGCAATAAGAAACTTTTTATAAGTGTCATGTGTGAAAGTTGCTGGCAAACAAAGATGAACTCTCCGTGGGTTTGTGTCAGTGTTGCCTGGACTATCACGTACAGGGCAGACAAAGCTGGAATAAATACTTTTTCTGTGTAAATGGGGTACTGCTGTTGTGTGCCAAAATGACAATATCTAATGTTTTCATTTAAAACAGATACAGTGTTGTTAGGAATGATTTCTTTCTACAGATGGGAAGACCTTCCCATTTCCAAATCCCATTCTTTTCTAAAATAAAGATAGGACAAGCACCAGTGGGGTTAGGAGCAGGGTTAGTGGTGCTGCTCTTCTAACTGCAGGAATGAAATCTCCATCCAGAAAGCAGGTGAAAGATTTTGCTGTCAAAGTGAAAGAGCCCAGTACAATTTTGTAACAGCTGAGTTGTCCTGCAGTGGAATCAGAAAAGAAACTTCTCTTAGTTTGGGATATGAGCCAGGTTGAATCTGTTGGGTTAAGCGTGTGTCGACTAACTCTGTCGTGAACCCCTTGGGGATTTGAGTGAACTGGGATTCAGAGCTCTGGCTTTGGCTTGTGTCCAATGTTAACGGAGAAAAATTATTCAGGGGCACCTCATGCAGAACCACCAAATGAATTCTCCCTTTCTGCTTGCCAGTGTAAACCATGAATGCTGTGTAAAACCAGTACAGGAGCAGGTCTGTACTCAGTTCTGCTGGTCAGCTTTTTTCTTGGTCCCTTTCTTAATGCACAGGAGTCTTGTGGCAGCATTGCAGCACACTAGGACTGTAGCCATGACCTCCCTGTACTGGTAATCCTATAATATCAGTGCATCAGTCCAATTATGCCTTTTTTTTGGTGGGGCCAGATGCTTCCTCGGAGAAGCTAGAGCCAAGGGGAAATTTGCATCCTTCAGAACATCACCCCAAAGCTTGCCCCTTTAAACTTTTTGTTTACCCATCTGTTAACATATCCAGAACTGGAATGAACACGCCCTTTTTTTCTCAAATACAGAGAGGACTATAAGCAGATGACTGATGAGGGTAAAAACCACTGAGGCAAAGTTACTGTGAAGCGATGGAACAAGGCACTAGGACCTAGGAGGCGTCTCATCCACCCTGGCAGGAATTTCTTGCTTGGAGCTCAGACAACAAAGGCAGAGTGAGCCTGGTTTTCTTTCTTTCAGCATCTCCACCCTGCACGCTGAAAACCGGTGAGTAGAGCTTTTTTGAGTGACTTGCATGCAGAAAAGTAACAGATGTCAGATAGAAAGGAGGAATCTTTTTCTTAGTACCTTACAGCATCTGCAGTTCATTTTAAAATCAAAACCCTCTGTATCCTCTGATTCATTCCCGAAGTTGCTTGGATGTTTCATTGTTCAGTGCATGACACCAGACTGAATCTACCCCAACTCACGTCGTGGGGAAAATGTTCCCAACTTGGGGTTTCTGTGCAGATCGCCTGCATTGTCATCTTTGGCTTTATTGCAGACTGGGGACAATGATTTTTCTTGCACAGGTCACGTTGACATTGTAAAATACAGGGAAGGAGCTTCGTTCTAGCAAATGTAAGGGGTGGGGAAGAGATAGCAACAGCTTTTCCTGGATTTATACCTGACTGCCAAGTGCTGCTGTAAATCCCCTTTCTGCCCTGTGTTAACATGCAAGCAACATACGTGAATTGCATGTTCCTGGTTGTGCTGGGGGAGTGGAAGGGTCTTTCTGTTGCAGGGTTGGGGGTTCCTCCTCCTTTTGTGTTGGGGTTTGATGCAGGAGACAGGTTGTTCTTGAGCGTAAACTAGAGACTGTGCAGAAATTCCTTGCTTGCTGGGTGTCAGCTCCAGTCTCAGCTTTTCTGTGCTAGTCGCTTGCGCCGGGAGCCCCCCGTGCTCAGAACAATGAAAGGTGAGGAGCAGGGGCGGCGTGTCCCTTGGGCAGGGGCACCTCCAGCAATTAAATCCCTTAAGGCTGGAAGGGGGATGGAAATAGCCCCTTTATTTTCTCCTCCTCATTAAACGGCAGCAGAAATGCAATTCAGAGGAGACTTAGGCTGAAAAGAGCTTACCAAAGCCTCGTTTCAATGACAGATTTTTCTTTCCAGTCATTTCTTCTTAGAGATGTAGGCTGGTCCTGGGAATTGATTGATGGGCTAGGAGGGGGCTGCGGATAGGGGGAAGGGTGGGCTGGATCTCATTGCTAACCCTTATTGAACAGGCTGTCACAAAGAAACTGCTTATTCCCCTGTGACCATTCTTTCATAAATGCCAGTTTATTCTAATGTTAAACATTCAGATGCTCTGGTTCCTTCCGCGATTCGACAGATTGAAGGGCTGACTTACTGGGATCTCCTTGTTTTCTGTTGCCAAAGGAAACCTCACAGGGCTCAGCGGTTTAATTCATTGCCAACTGGTGTTTGGACGAGTTTTTGGGGGCTGAGTTGTGATTGCCATGTATCCCTTTGGCCCCAAGTCCCGATTTACTGCACTTTGAAAACTCCCAGGTGCAGGAGCAGACAGCTCCCTAGAAATGTGTTCCCTGCCCCCCGCAGTTGGATCCCTTTCAAAATGCGAGGACCCCTCCTACCCTCAGTCCCCAGAATCGATACAAATCTGGGTCAGGGGGGCGGGGGTGCTTCCCAAATGCATCTGTCCTGCTCCAGACACAGATCTTGCATTAATGTCGGTTTTGTCTCTGGATTGCGGCTCAGCTTGGCTCTAACCTGTCCCTTTGCACTCCTTCTCTCCCCGTCTCCTTCCTGCTCAGCTTCAGATCTTTAGGGTTCACCAAACTATGGAACTTGATTTTGGACACTTTGACGAAAGAGATAAGGCGTCCAGAAACATGCGAGGCTCACGTATGAACGGGTTGCCCAGTCCCACTCACAGTGCTCACTGTAGCTTCTACAGAACCAGGACCTTACAGGCACTGAGTAACGAGAAGAAAGCCAAGAAGGTGCGTTTCTATCGCAACGGGGACCGCTACTTCAAGGGGATTGTATATGCCGTGTCCTCTGACCGCTTCCGAAGTTTTGATGCTCTCCTGGCTGACCTCACCCGGTCCCTGTCCGACAACATTAATCTGCCTCAGGGAGTCCGCTACATTTACACCATCGATGGGTCGCGGAAGATTGGGAGCATGGATGAGCTGGAGGAAGGTAATTAGCATCACTGTCTGGCGCAGTGAGGAGGCGGGGTGGGAAGGGGGCTGCACCACTTGGGTCTGCTGTTAAGGTCACATTTCCTCGAGTACCCGGGGATGCTTCTGCCCCTCTGCTGAGCCTGCCCATTCGCCTTCCCCTCTGGAGAGGTGCGGGAGAGGGTGGCAGTGCAGGGGCTGACACCCCTGGGGTGTCCCCCAGCATGCTCGCTTGGGTGCAGGTGTGGAGCCAGAGGGATGTACCTTACTCTTGGCTAGACATGGCTGCATCCCTCACTCGGGAGGGACTGTCTGAGGGCATCTCCACATCTGTCTGGGCTGGAGGGGGTCCCAGATTGGTGCTGGTGTGGCTGAGGAGTGATGGGGGTTTCCCACTGGGGTGGATGGGTGTGAGTGGAAAAGCAAGGGGTGCTGGGGGATTCATGTAGTGCATGTGTAATGGGGGTGGGAAGGATTTATGCACTCGGTGTATGGGGGTGTTTTGAAGGGTTTGTGTATAATGTGTGTGTAAAGGGGTGTGGTCAGGGCTGTGCAGGGACTTGAGTGTGTGTGGAGTGGGGTATTGGGAGTGGACGCAGTGTGTGTATGGCGGATGTGGGGAAGGCAGGGTGTTAGGGGTTTTACAGTGTTTGGGGAGTGTGTGGAGGGGTGTGTTGGGAGTTGACGCAGTGTGTTTAGAGGGGGCAGTTAATGAACAAGGTGTGTGTGTGGAGAAGGATGTTTTGGGTGGGTTGTACTTGGTGAAATTTGGGGTGTTATATATATATGCATGTGTGGAGGAAGATGTAAAGAGGGTTAAGAGCAGAGGAGATGTTGGGATTCCTTGAGGGTGTTCATGCACAGGGTGTCTGTTGGCATTTGTGCTCGGGGGTGTGTGGAGGTGTGTTGGGCTGTGTGTGTGTAAGGGGGAGTGCTGGGGGGTGGTTCTTGCACAGTGATGTGTGTCGAGAGGGCATTGGGAGTTCATGTGCTGCGTCTAAATACGATTCATGCAGGGTCTGTGTGGACGGGAGGTGTATCGAGATGTTCAGACGAGGTGTGTGTGTAAGTGGGTGTATTTAGGGAGTGTTACTGCAGGGACTGTGTGTGGTGGGGTGGGTTGCTGTGGTGGGTCTGTGGGGGAGTGTGGGAAAGCATCCCCTGCGTGGCAGGTCTGGGTGTATCCCTGTATCTAGAGAGGGTGTTGGTGTGCCTGTTCCTCTGAGTGTCCCTTGGACTGTGGGATGAAGGATGGGTCAAAAATCAATCCTTCTGTCTGGAGGGGGTGACCTGGGGGCAGGCTTGCTCAGCTGCTGGCCTCGTCTGTGCCTGGGGGGCTTCCTCTGCAGCAGTGGGCTGCCACCATGGGTGCTGCCTTTCTCGGGGAGCGCCAGGAGAATCCCCGGGATGAAATTGCTGTATGGCCAGTCCTGCCTTCTTGCCCACGGCATGGCTGTGGGCAAGCTCTGCTGGCGGCACAGCTGAAGTGGGGTGCACAGCAGACACCCACAGCCACCCTGCTTTTCACTTCCCTGAGCAATTCAGATATTCTGTTCTTTGTTTGGACCTGGAATATCCTGATGACTCTGTTCCAAGAGAGGAGTTGCTCTTCCCTGTTCCTTGATGTTTTCCTCCAAGGAGATGACCTGGCTGATTTGGTAACTACAGAAAATCCATAAGGCTTTTGCCTTTAATAAAAGACAATGGATGTGAGTGTGTGAGCCACTGAACTGCAGAGGCAGCCTCAGCAATGAGTCATTGTGTGACCTTGACTAAAACATGTCTCCCTAAAATCCTTTATCTGTCAAGTGGGGTACTCATTTCCCCAAAATACTTTGTGGGGACAAGCACACAGAATAAATATTGGTTTCCATAGGGGAGTTTTAGTGGGAAGAAACTGCTGCCTTTTTGAGAGATGATGCAGTCCTAGTGGAGTTATTCTCAGCCCAGTTACAGCTGTCAAATGGAGGTGTGGCCTCCCTTAATTTTAGAGATTCTGCCATGTTTCATTCTGATCTCTTAATATGGCCACAACCTTTCTCTAATGGCAGCTCTCAGTCCTGCTTGTCCTAGGTTTTATGTAAATCTTCAGGAATAACTCCACAGGAGAAAATGCAGTTCTTTATTCTCTTTTTATACTCTTCCTCCTTTTACAGTCTTCCTGCTTTGTGTCAGTGAAGTTAAGAAACCTTTAGTTGTTATACCTGCTTTACACTGGGTTTGGCTGCAGGTAAGAAGGTACCTAGTTCTTGCTTATATTTTTTTTACTGGTTAAACTACAGGCAGGAGATGCTGGCATTTAGGTTCTGGCTTTGTTCTGCCAAAATGGTATCTGGAAACAGCACTGAAGAAGTGGCACTAAAACAAAAATAGGATTGTCTGTGTCCTGAGCAGAGCATCAGCTAGGAAAATACAGTCTGAGAAGAGTGAAAACAAAGGAACCCAGTGTTTGAAAATGCAAAAGTAGATCTGCATGCAGTTTAATGATAACAATATTCCCATATTTCTAGGGATGACCTATACATCTGTTGTACAAAAGCAGTCTGGGAAAGACATTGCTTTTGATTTATAATAGCATAGTTGTAACCAACCTTGTGGTAAACTGTGCTATTAGCTTGGGTGTTTGTATAACTCTCTACTAGGTACACGCATGGAAAAACAGAACTTCAGAGTAATTGCGCTGTGACATACAATAACAGTACATACACAAACAGTATAAGTTTGCCATATAAATCAGCTTTCTGATTGGAGACTGAGGGTAACCAAACTAGTTCTAGTTGCTATAATGTGACTAATTTATTACTGTAATTTCCAATAAACAAGTAGAACCTAGGAAAAGAAGTTGTCAGAGAGGGTCATCTCAGTAGTTTGATTGTAAAAGCTGATGAATTACTGATAATATTTCATATCATGTTTTAAGTACTTGGTTACTTTTGCATGATTTAAATGTGTTTATGTGGTGCTGTCTGAATGTACTTCTGGAGGGTAGAGAATGATATTGCATTATACCAATATCCTTGAGATAGACATTTCAGGTGAACAAGAAACACGGTGTGCTGCTAATTAAATGGGACTTGGAAATAACCCTTTTGGTCTCCAGACCCAGGCTTGGTAGTCTTTTCTTCCCTGGCATTCAGGGTTGTTCTCATAAGGTTTTGGATGGATGTTTTACTTCCCAGTCTGTCCAAGGTAGAACAGGTGAAGTCTGTCTTACTCTTTGATCATATGCCTCCTAGCTGCCGGTTGGGATGTGCCTCTTGGTTCTTTCCTGTTCTGAACCCTAATGCCTCACATTTTGGAAGCCTGCCAGAACTCTGTCACGTAAGTGCTTTTTGCTGCCTGCTGAGTTCTTCCTCACCTGTCACTGGCTGCTTTTTCCATACTGCCTCCTGTACCAGAGAGCTGTCTAAGTCCATGTCTCCCAATGACCTTCTCTCAAAATCCACCTGTCTGATAATTTTTTTTCCTCTTTCACTCATAATGGCCATCTTCCATCACTGTAGTCATTGTCTTAATCTTGCCTCCCTATTTTCAACACTCAGTTTTAATGTATTTGTAAATAATGCACATGCTGCCATTCATTAGGACTGTATTCCTCCTTAATCTCTGTGTTGGTTTAATGCAGTACAGCATCCTATTACTGCACTGTTACAGCTGATCTTGACTAGAGGTAAATTGCTGACAGCATCTCCCACTTGCATACTCTCTTGGCTGAGTCAGGAGTGGATATTGGGCCCAAGTGCTACTGTCTATCATGGTTGTTTTAGTCAATAAGTGAATTTTTTGGAAAAGAGCACCAGGTGATATTTACTCCCTTTCATACTATAATTGGTTCTAGTGCCCAAGGCTTTAGGAAGTCAATATATGAAGCCGCCTTTATAGATTATTGGTGAGCCACTGTTGTAACAGTTAATTCTGTGCCTTGTGCTGTGAGAGAAAACTTGAATATGAAAGATACTAAAAAGAAAAATCATTTGTCATCTTTTCCAGCCTTGCTCAAGCTGAGAGTAGAGCAGCTCACATTGTTATCCAAGTTTCTACTAAAATCTAGTTGCCTTTGACATCTGGACAAGGTGGCTTGTTCCTTAGTTCATTTTGAGCCTCTGTTCTTGTAGACCCATTGTGATGAGATGGCAAATTCTCCCTGCCTCAGTTCTGATTGCTCTTTTTCTTTGAATGGAGGGCTGGATAGAGCTGGAGACTTCAGCAGGAAACATGACTTAAGAAGTTCTGTTCTTGGCCACATGTTCCAAACTCAGGTTGCAACCTGCTATCCCCATTGTCCCACAAATGACCTCTTTGTGGGACAAAATTTTTTTTTTAGTCCAGTCCATAATTTTGCTGCTGTCCCATGTGGCCTCGATAGCAGTTTCTTGACATAACGAAAGGGACAGCGATGTACAACTTGAGAGTGAGGGAAAGGCACAAGGCAGATTTCTGGCTGCTGAAGCCACTGCAGCTCCCCGTTAACCTCAGTACTGGTGGAGACTGGTTTGTTTCCTCTGGAGGGAGGGACTAACACTTCCCCAGAAGCCAAATTCCCCACTTGTAAAGATCAGATATTTGTCACAGTGTATTTACAGGTACTGACCAAATGGAGTATCCTACTGTGTGCGGCACTATTTAAATATGTAAGAAGAGAGAGCTCCTGCCCAGGGGGATTATGGTCTGAACATGTCAAGGTGGAAGATGGTGTTATTAGTGATGAGGAACTGAGATGCAGAAAAGCAATCTGACTTGTTTGTCCAAAGTCTGTAGACGAGACAAAGATGGAGGTCAGAGCTCTGAGTTTTCTTGTTCGAGTGCTTTTGTTTCCTTCCTGAGCCTTTTTCAGGGTCTGACCAGTGGTTTGGAGGTGCTTGCATCTTTCAGGCTTTTTATTATAAGTGAACTTTGGACCTGCTCCTAGTCAGTGGCTGATTTCATGTGAATTAAGTGTCCTTTGCTGTCTATGGTCAGGGTCAGAAATACATGTGGAAATAAACCCATCGAATACAAATACAGCATGGATTAAACATG